ATGAAAGCCCTGATAAAAGGGGAGCTCTTTGGATACAATACATTTTATATTTGGACAGTTTTGTTTCTTTAGAACCTTAAGTACGCATGAGTTGCCTGCCTAGTTCTTCACGCAAAGGTGACAGGAGTTCTGAACATCCCCTTCTCTATCTACAGCTAATAAAAAGAAAGACATACAAAGTTGGCTAGAGGTACATTTTAATAGACTTGGGGATAACAACTTAAGTTGTTCATCATTGCCCCAACAAAACAGAGAAATGCAACTTCAGACTTTCTCAGGAAACTGGATTCTTTGGGACTTCCGAAGAAAATAGCTCTTCATTAAATACACGCACATGGATTGTAAGGAAATACAATTCATTAAGTTAGCAAATGTTCCCATACAAAATGACCATTTCACAGAACTCAGGAGAAGGGATCCAAGTCCCATACCCACGATCTACAAGCCTCATTCTTTCATCTGCTAACAATTTAAAACCAATGAAACGCCCACACCAAGTTCAGCAGAATAGTCCGTTTTAATATCTTAGGGCATCTGCAGCATTTTCAGGAATTGGCTGAAGGAGTAAAACTAGCGACTTCGGTTCGCACCATAAATCTACATGAGATCTGTACAACATGCATCAAGCAACAGATGGAACGTCAATAGGAAACTTACAAAAACACCATCATTTTTTTAGCTTGGACAATATATTTACACATTACTTATCTTTTACATAAAATCTATTTCAAACACAACAGTTTCCTTTGTAAATATTTACCCCTATTTAAAAGTTAAATGCGGATCTGAGTGGAATGTTAAAAACTGAAGTGAATCACGGGTGACGGTAAAACTTATATATGCCTTCAAAATCATTTTTCAGCTCAGCAATGATTACCTAAAATTTTACTTTAAATCCTATCTCCAGGGAGAAAAAGCCACCCTTGCAGGGTGGCTATCCCCACGCTGCAAGGGTTTACTGCTCATTCATGTCTAGGGTAGTTGTGTAAAGGACATTTATTTGCCTGATCCCCATTACCCCAGTAGTCAGCACTTACCTCCCTCCCCTTGTGGACTGTCCCTATGTATCCTCAAGTATAATGTGGGGCTATGGAACTACCTGATGACATCAGCATGCCTCCAGAACACAGGGTGTGTGGGCAGGACCAAAGCTAGGGGGGCTGGGGGGTGTGTGACCTAGGAACCACTTTAGCAGGGGCTCCACTGGGTGTGTGGATGGAGAACGTCTCCCTTGGGGGGGGGGGAGCAACTCTGAGCCTTTGCCCTGGGGAATGTCTAGCTTCCACATTGGTTGTGGGGGTTGGGGAGAGAGTATAGGTGCCCATCTTGGGGCCTGCTTAATGGTGATCAGTTAAGAAAAAATTATCTACACAGCTACCCTAGACATTTTAAGGCAGTAAACCCTTGCAGTGTAGGGGTATGCCCACTTACTATATTTTTTACTTTTCCTGGAGATAGGCTTTAAAGTGCAAGCTCACTTTTCACCCAAAAAGCTAAATAGGTTACCCTACCCCTACTATATAGAATGTCGGCAAACAGAACTCTGATTTAGTGCATAGTCACTACAGACAAGTTTTGGGGCTCAGAGACTGATGAAGGGGGGGTGTCCCCAAAACACATCACTAGTGGAGGTTGTCGGTGTGCTCTGCTCTTTTTCTTTCCCAGTCCTGAGTAAGAGATAAAGTCTGTCATTGCTTTACTCTTTTTGTAAAGGTTAAGTCTACCTTTTGAAACATGTTTCATGTGGCACTCATATTTATGGTGTAACACTGAACATGGACACATCGCGATCCCCCCACCCCTAAAGTGCCCCACCAGAATTGCAGGGTTATTCTCCCTGATGGATTCTGTTTAATTATGAACTTGGTGTGTGGCTCTGCCACGTCCCTACAAGTCCCATCTTCCACCACAGTAGAGGGACTCGTAGATCTCAAGGGTGTACTAATGTGGTGATGTCACCGCACTTGTAGATCATTGATTACATCCTCCGGTCCCATTAACAGAAGGTCTGTACCTGAGTTTGGACCAGGGGCTGGAGTAAAGGCTGCAGGAGTCTATGCATTGCACATGTGATCCACTGATCCTGGTTGCAATGCTTTGTAGGCTCAAATAATAAAAAAACAAATTTTATTTTATTATTGTGTGAGCATTTATTAAATATTTGGAAAAGGTGGAAAAAAGTAATTAAAAAAAAAAGTAAAAAGGTAAAAAAAAGTAATTGCCTTGGAACAAGTATGTACTGTAGACCAAGAGGTCCGTAGTGCAGAACTAAAGCCAACATTTTTTGTTAAGTTTTGGATAAAGTAAGGGAGGGTTATACCACATGCCAGATTATTAATTTGCCCCTCTGTCCCATTGGGGAGATTTCCCTCCACTTCTTGTCTGATAGCCACAATAGGAAGTGAGAGGAAATCCTTGCAAAGAGAAGAGTAGTCAGCAGTATCATCAGAACTAGTGCCCCTATTGGAAGATCTCCCATCTATTTCAGTTCTGAAGGCAGTCCAGAATTTGGGATTTTCTTTCACTTTCAGTGATAATGGTCACCGGGACAAACTGAGAGGGGGAATCTCCCTAACGGGGAGAAGAAAAATCCTAATAGGTGTTCTAATCCCTCTTCGCTCCATCCAAGAGTAAACAAAACATGTTGGCTTCAGTTGCAGTTAATTTGTATACTTTTTCTGGATGAGTGAATCCATCACTGATCAATAAAGAAGTAGAAAATTCTCACTTGGCAAAGTAAATGTTCACTTAGCTTAGTAAAGTTTTGTTCACTTTACTCATCCAATCACATGCTAGCAGAAATCCAGTGTTTTAATTTTTTTTTTATTTTCCTTGCACATGATTAAAGTAGTATTAAACTCTCAAACTTTCTTTAAATAATAACTCCATGTTAAACAAATATAAATTGCCCAGCAAAATATTTCTTTATATTTTCTCCCAAGCACTTACAGTCATCATGGCTGAGAACAGCTCCAACTCTCTCAGCTTGGCTTCCCTGAACTTCCTGCCCAGTACAAAATCACAAGTGACAGAGCAATCCCCAGCAACTATGCTTTCAATAGCTTGGAGGAAGGAGAAGAGAGGAGGGGGAAACAAGGAGCAGATGATTGGCTTGCCTTGCTGTGCCTGTATGTTTGTAGAAACATGCACAGCTTACTAGCACACACAAGGGTGTCTCCATAGTACCCTGCAAAGTAAAGGAGTCACCATAAAAGAGGATATCAGGGCCAGTGCTCAGGGGACCAGCTCATTCTGCAGGAAATTAAAACTTTTAAACATCAAGGAGCAGCATCCATTGTAAGTGATTTTATCAGCATTTGAAAAAGCTTAAAACCCTTTTGACTTTAAGTATTTCAAACCAGAGGTGTCCGGGTGACAACCCGCCGTGACATCATCGCGTACGCGTGTGATGGTGTCACGGGTTGTACCGCTGTTTCCTGCCGACGGCCGTCTTGGTGATAGACACCGGCAGAGAGTGGAGGGGACGTTCACCCGGCGCGGTCACTCCATGACCGAGTGCCCAGCTTTTCAGAGGGGGTGACACCACACTGACTGTTAGTCAGTGTGGTGTCACCCCTTCCGATGGTGTCACCCGGGTGCGGGCCGCACACACCCGGACCCCCCTTGTGACGGCACAGTTTAAAATGAATACAAGCTGACCTTATTTGTTCAGTGAAATGACTGCTATACATACACATTGTAAATACCTATTCTGAATGTTTCTAGCACATATAACATGCACATAGATGTACTGTATGTAACAAATGCAGAAATGTGCGGAAACACATGCAGAAACCTGCATTAAAAAAATATGATAATATAATATATAAACGTATATAAGTGAAAGGGGAAAATGAATGGGCCCTCTATCTATGACATGTTCAAGTGCACATCCAAAAAGTTCATAGCAGATGCAAACTACAACTCCACTCCCATCTAAACTGTACTTGCTTTTCAAAAGATAAATTATGGAGCGGCTTAACTTTAGCCAGAGAGCCAAGCAATGTTTGTAAATAAATGATAGAAACAATAATAAAATAATAATTATGTACTGAAGGCTAAAGTGCATCTAATGCGTAGGAAACGGAAAAGTTAAAAGAACATTCTAAGGGTATAAATGTGATGCCGGCTATGTGACTACAGGCTTCTAAGACTTGGGACACAGAGACATGATCTAATGTCCATTGAAGTTGTGATAGTTAAATTGGAAACAAAATTTGTTTATGTTCTTTCTTCTCTTTGCTTTTTAAACTGAAGTCTGGGATAAGCAAATATTGTCTAAGTACAAGAGTAATGAGTGCTCTTACTTGCATCTTGGTATCTGTGCAGAAATCCAGTGTGAAAACTTTCTGCCAGAGCTTCCTGTAATAAAGACCACTCACGGCTGCTCTCTTTCCTTGTGCAGTGTGACTGGCCTTGTCTCCGCCTACTTCTGTAGTTTTCTTCAGGCAACCTGTAGTGCGGGGGGCCTGTTGGGCCCCTTTCACAGCTCTGCTCTCTGCACAGGGCCATCTTCACCCTATACCCTTATATGCCGCCTGAGGCCATAGAGCGGGGCTTTCTGGCTGCTCCCACCCAGCCAACTGACATCACTGGTTGTGCCATAACTCAGCGGGACACCAGACAGAGCATCCCACTCAGCTCCCTGGTATCCAATGACATCAGTGAGCTGGGCAGGAAACTAGGGGAGCTTGGTTCCGTTTCTCTGCCCTACAAAAAGAATCTACAGTCTCAGTTTAATAATGAGAGAGGTGTACCAGGGAGTGTGGCTCATAACAATTTGCAGAGTGTCACCGGGACAGGAAGTGACAGGATATCTCATAGACTACAGTGAACACCTTTCCTGCTCTATCAAAAGCTGCATTATTTTCTTACAATCCAAGCACCACTAACTCTTTTGGCAAACTCATTCTTATTCTTTTTTTTTTGCCACTGCTACAATCTGTGCAGAAAACCCAATTTTTAGTAGTTCAGTACTGGAAGAACAGTCAAATGAATACCTTTAATGATTCCTTTGTCCTGTAAAGTCTTCAGTGATGGACGTCGGGAAATAAACTTCTTTAGTCGGGTTTTAACGCGGGATTTGTCAGATGTGTCTGAAGCGCTGTAGTTTAATCTGAGCACTGGAGACAAAAGGAGAAGGAAAAGTTAGTTACAATTTCAATGCAGACTGTGTAGAACATGTGTATGTTGTCTAATTGTACAAATGAATGCTCCTGTATGTCTAAACAAGTACCAAATCCAGTTACTATGATGATGATGCAAAAACCTCATAAAGCAGCCAATAAATTTCCTTTACTTTCCCCTGATTTAACCTATTTCTCCTTCATTTCTATCTTTGTTCTCCCTCCCAGACACTGCAGCTCACAGTTTCTGCAGCAGAGGCAGAGCTGTCAATCCAGGAAGCAGTGGGCAGGACCAGTGGCATCACAAGGGGGGTGCGGCCCGCACACGGGTGACACCATTGGAGGGGTGACACCAAAATGACTTACAGTCATTTTGGTGTCACCCCCCTCTGAAAAGTCGGGCGCTCGGTCATGGACCGAACGCCCGACAGTATCGGGAGAGAGGAGGGGACCCGGTGGCATACTTTATCCCGCCGGGTGGCTGTCTCCTTTTCTCTCTGCCGGCGTCCATCACCAAGATGGCCACCGGCAGGTATCAGAATACTGTTGCGCACACGCATGGTATCGTCACGCGCATGCGCAGTGACGTCTCGGTGGGGTGACACTCCGCCTCACCTCGGGACGCCCCTGGGCAGGACTAGGTGTAGCCAGCTACTGACTGACAATCTACAGGCTTGTGAATCACCGGTGACATTGCTGATTCACATCACATCCCACTGTAGTGCAAGCAGGCACAGCCTACACGAGAGTGGCAACTCTGCTCTGAATTCAGGAGCAGTGCAGCACCGTTGCCACACTATCACAGTGATATGCATTAGCTGGACTTCACTGGCAAGATCAACAGGTATTTGCTGGACTTTGCAGAGGGACTAAGAGAAAACTATAAGTGCAGAGGTACTTGGAAAGAAAGTACCTGCAAAAGGGACGTCCTGCAAAAAGGAAATGTTATGGGCTCTATCTGACGTGCTGCAGCTTCTAAAACTCATTCATATGTCCTGGACTTAAAAGAAAGCACAGACACCTTATCTTTAGTGTGTACTAGTCTTATCAATCCACTATGTAATAGAGATAAACAAAATAATACATATTTAAAGTCGAGCCTTTGTGACAACAATGGCTCCCTCCATAGATGAGTGCAGACATGAAGGGACAGCAAATGCAGGAACCACTACATCTGAGGACTGGTTACCTGCAATATACAACATTTTTGTTTACAGGTTTCAATATACTTTAAAAACAAAAAATGTTCCCTTTAAAAGGGTTATAATTTGGGCAACCATAGGTGACATCACCATGCGTGTGCGCGATGACGTCATCGCGCACGCGCGGCAGTATTCTGATACCTGCCGGTGGCCATCTTGGTGATGGACGCCGGCAGAGAGAGGAGGAGTAGGCAACCTCAGCACTCTTGCAGTGGTGAAACTACAAATCTCTCCTAGCTGTGACTCCTGAGCTTACATGGTGATCACATGGCTTTGGTTAGGGTTATCTTATGGGCTACCATAGGTTAGATCAGGAGCAGGCAACCTTAGCACTCCAGCTGCGGTTAACTACAAATGTCACCTTTGTCTCTGGCCTAGTTCTCCTCGCTGTCATGACAACACCAACATGGCGATCACATGGTTTTGGTTAGGGTTATCATTTGGTCTACCATAGGTTAGGGCAGGAGCAGACAACCTCAGACCGCCAACTACCAATGCCTCCTAGGTGTGACTCCTAAGTGTCATGACAGATCTAACATGGTGATCACATGGCTTTGGCTAGAGTTACCATTTTGGCTACCATAGGTTAGAGCAGGAGTAGGCAACCTTAGCACTTTAGTAGTGGTCAACTACAAATCTCACCATGTTTCTGTCTCTGGGAGTCATGCCACACAAGTCTTATAGTCCACAACAGTTGGAGTGCAGAGGTTGCCTACCTCTGGGTAAGGTTAACATTTATCTGGCACAAGAAGTCAAGAATAATTTGAAGGAGCTTCTCTAAACTTCAGAAGCCATTTAAACCTCACCCTTAAAAGCCACCCAGACCAACTTAATTTATTTTTCCACTATTGATTCTAATTCAAAGTTATGCCATAATTATGCCAAAATCTCCCAATTTTAACCAAAATGTTGTTTAATCAAAATCTACCAATTTCATTTATCCCTACAAACCATCATGCGTTGCAGCCTCCCTTAGCAGAACCCTCAGCTTTGGGTGGACTGATCCTTTAAGGCAATGTTAAAAATGCCCAGCAAAATGTTCATCTCACATATTTGCAGGTACTTAAATAAAGTCTAAATTAACTCATTACACTCCTGAGAGACAAAGTGAAGCAGTATCTTGACCGAGCTGATTTTCATTTACATTAGCCAATTATTTCTCAAGTATCTGGGGGATGTTTGGATTTGCAGCCTTGGACGTATGACTTTATAATCCAAACTTCTAACACACTTTGTGCCTCGGAGATATCAAGGGAGCTAAACTTGCCAAATTGTTGATTTAAAGTAAATAAAAGATAGCCAATTAAAGAAAGTAAAATATAAACACATGCCCATGATAATAAGAGGAGCATTCTCCTGTCGTTTTACTACTGAATTTAATAGAACGCGTCTTCTTTTTCCCACAACACCAGCTGACCTTACAGATACTTCCCCTGAACTTGTAATCGCCTGCAAAAAAAAAAAGAAGACACTTCTTCTGGAAGATACGAGAAGCAAATATTATAATTTCTTCCCAGCTAAAACAAAGGCTACAATTGTCATAATTTTTCCATCAAATGGTGGGCGAATAGATGCTGATAAGGAAATTATTGCCCATGGAATCTGACAACGTCCTTTGTGCCAGTTTTGCTCGATTTTCTCAGGTTTTCAAGATTTGTCCCTGGTTGCCCATACAATGTCTGATTTTCTACATCACAAATTTGGGAAAATGGAATTCCCCCTTCCAATCTGTCTCCCTTTCCAACGCCCTGCTATCCTTACCTTTGGACGAACATGAAAGAGCATTCGGCCAAAGGTAAGTAGAGAGGGGTGGATGCCCAGATTGGACGAGGTAATTACATTTTTCTAAATTCACCTAGAAAAGTAGAAATTCCAGGATTAAAAAAAAAAATACTCTTGCAGTTCCTTTTTTCCCCTGTGCTCTAGTGGCCTAAGAACCACTGATATCATCACATCTAATGCAGATTTATTTACCTGCATAGGCTGTCCCTGTCTCTCAATTACTCCCTTGTGTTGTCACCCTGCCACATGGGCTTCCAATAGAAACTACACATTACACAAGCATGTACCACTGTTGTCACCATCAGCAAGTGAACCCTAAAGCTGGCCATATAGTAGTAGAATTTTATCAAAAAAAATAAAAATTCAGAATGTCTATCGGACTTCCTAATAGTTGATGGGGTCAATTTGGTCATCGATTTTGACCGCAGTGATGAAAAAAGTTGAAGGATCAGGATGGAAAAACATTTTTTTGAACGAACGAAATTCTAACATTAAATGTAATTTTCATTCGGAAAACTCCATTCATTTCAAAATTTTATGTTAAAGTAGTATTAAACTGTCAATAATTAATCCAGATCAAACAAATACACATTGCCCAGCTAAGTATTTCTTTACATTTTTGCCCATTCAGTTACAGTCATTATGTTTCAGAATTGCTGGCTCCAGCTCTCTCAGCTCGGCTTCCCTCAGCTTCCTGTCCAGTACAAGATAACAAAAGACAGAGCACTCTCCAGCAACTGTCCATCTGGTAGCAAGTAGATGGGTCAAGTGGGAAGCAGGGAGCAGGGGGGTTGTTTGCCTTGCTATGGCTGTGTGTTTGTGGAGACACCCGCAGCTTACTAGCACACACAAGGATGTCTCCATAGGACCTTGTAAGGGAAAGGAGCCACCCTAAAAAAGGATATCAGGGCCAGTGCTCAGCTGATTCTGTAGAAAACTAAAGAGCTCTTAGCAACCCCTGATGCTCTGTCCACTCTGTCCAGCTTCCCACCCATCTCACAGATGTCATCGGCTGTCAAGGAGCTGAGCGGGACGCTATGGCTGGCATCCTGCCAAGCTCCTGTCAACCAGTGACGACAGTGAGCTGGGTGGGACAGGAAAGAGAGCCGCTGACAGGCATGGTTCTAACACAGCTGCCCGCACCACCACAATCATTGCAGCCCTCCCCTTTCCCCATCACTATCAGCAAAAACATCACTGGAGTGCATGTATAAAGGACATGATTGCAAAGAAGCTGAAGATCATCAGCCTGGGATGCAAAGAGGATTAAACAAAGGTGAAAACAGTATTTTATTGGAAAAGATAAGTGTTCATGATAGTGCTTTAGCAAAGTAAATGTCATCCAGTAAGGGCTTACATCTACTTTTTTTAAGGGCCGTACTAGAGTCTGCACATCTACTTCCAACGTCAAATCCAAATGCGCGAGCAAGTTTCCCATTAGTAAACCATATAATTCAGAAATAAAATGAACACGAGGTGTTCTTATCAACTGCTCTTATTCAATTACTCATGGGAGAATTCAGGCCTTCTCCTGACTTTATTTCACTCTCAATTTATATAAAATACATTTGTATATTATCCCATGGGTTTACCTATAATTAATTCCTGCCAGGCTACATTTGAGCACTTTTAACATGTGTTGAAAGCATTGGTTTTTGGACGAACTATCCATTAACGACTTTCTGAACTGTAACAATGGTTATTGACAGAGCCTGTCAGACTAAAGTACTATTGATTGTTTCACATCATGTGTATAGCAAAACCAATTTCTTCCTAGTGAATCTTCCTAACTGAAATACATTAGAATAGGCTTCCTATCAGTTTATCATAACCGCCGAAATTATGGAATATAAAGCAAGAAGAAAAAAGGTTGTGACAAACGGGTAAAATAAAAGGGACAGAGCCCTAAAGGGAAACTTCATCTTTAAAACACAATTCTGGGCTTCTGCTTAAAATGATGATTTAATTATTTAATTTTTATTTTTTTTAAGATGAAGAGGTCCATACTCAAAT